TCACCTTGTAAATCTAATGTCCACTTAATATAACTCTGCTGTATGTATCAAAGCATTAAGATAATGACTGATTTCAAAACAAAATGGGTATACAGTTCCTGTTACCTATTATGAAGATGAATATGGATGAACAAGCAGTATACAGAAGGAGTTCCGATAGCTTTCACAGGGATTATATGAGTACTTAGTGTGCCTATAGCCACAACACAGGGATTTGGGGATGGGAAGTCTTTTAAAAGAAAGACTTTGATCTTTCTTTTATGATCCTCCCATTGATAAAGATTAAACAATAATGTATTATTTTACATTTGAACTTTTAGGTTAGGAAAGATAAGCAGAGTATTTTCCTCAATCATCTGTTTATTTAAATGTTCAGTTTTCCTTATCCGTGAAGAACTGTTCTCCATGTTTTACTTTTTCTGAACAGTTTTTCCAGAAGGAAAGGAAAAAAGTGCAAGATATCATGATCAGAATCTGGAATATGTTTTATTTTGTTTTGACATTTTAAACCAGAAGTCTTTAATTTTCTTCCCATCACATATTCCCTTCTAAATCCATATTATGTAACACTTAACCCTGCTCCTGCAATCTGCCTACACCCACACATACACACAACTGAGACAATATATATCCAAGTTCTATCAGCAAGTGGACTGACCATCAATCTATAACTTTATTCTGGTTTGAAAACATTAGCTAGGCTTATGAGAAGTTTCTCTTGGAGACAATTTTATAAAAGTGATTTAAGGAGCTTTTTATGGTTGAGAATAGTATGAATAGCATTAGCACTACATGCATTTTCTTAAAGATTATATAATACTACTCAACTATAAAATCACCTGTGCCTGTTTTGTGTTTTTAAATAGCATATGTGTAATCTTTCTCTAATCTGTTATATGACAATTCTTCCACTTTTCCTTTGGATCAAATTTGGTAATTCCTATTTTGCTAGGAGTTAGCCATTTCCTCTAAATTTTTATGTTGTTGGTAAAATAAGTAAATTGTGTCATCATTTTTGACATAATTCTGACAGTATATATTAACATTTAATAATTCACATACCATCTAAGTGTACGATACCCACTTCTGAGAATCTACTTAATAGAAATGAGTAATAATATATAAAAGTATGTGAATAAGGACGTTTATTATAGCATTGTGTGTTGTGACAATAAAATAACTAAAAGCAGCTTTAATGTCCAACAATAAAGAAATGGCTTAACATATTTTGTGTCATCTAAAAGCATAGATTAATGGGTACAGTGTTTCAGTTTGGTAAGATGAAGAGTTATGGACATAGTGATGTCGCTTGCATGACAATGTGATGACAATGTGAGTGTACTTAAAAGCACGGAATTGTTCACTTAAAAATCATTAGGATGTTAAATTTGATGTATATTTTCCCATTAAAAAATGAAAATAAAAATAAAGTTTACATTTTTAAACAATTATTATTTTATTTATTGTTCTAGGTCAAGTGAAATAACTATAACTCAGGATTTTTAATCAAAGAATGTGGTGTGTGTGTGTGTGTGTGTGTGTGTGTGTGTGTGTGTGTGTTTTCCCTGTATGAGGCATATGTTCAGTAAACAAACCCTAGTAAGGCGAGATTTGTCTGAGACTATCTGTCAATTGGGTGACACTCCTACCCTATTTTAATGCATAATAAGATAAAATACTTTGCCTCTACATCATATGTAAAACTCTAAATAGACTGGATTTTGAATGCATAGCAATTGCATAAATTTACATTGTAATATTCCATGGGTTCATTTTAAACTAATAGGACCTAATTAAAAGAGAACCCTAAGGAGACACCTAACTAAACCTAAATATATATGAAGTTGTTATATTATTTTTATATGTTAATACTCAGATTTATCCACAGTTGAATGCATGACTTTTTAATTCAGCAGGGATTCAGTTAATGAGAGAAATGAAAAAAGAAAAAATATGTTAAAATTTTGTAAAAGAATATTTCTTAATTTCCATCAAACCACCTAGGGTTATAAATGTATGAATTATAGCTACAGCCTTTGAATAAATATCTAAACTATAGTTTTATAATTTGAAATACTGAAATTTTGGTTAAATGTTGAAAAATGAGATATTCTGGTTTATTGACAATTTAGCATAAATCCTGTTCCATTGTATATTCTGTTGAATTTTTTTCCACTTTTGGTTACTTTCTCATTTCAGTAAGTACATTCTAATAAACACAATTTAATCTTTCTTTGATAATAAATCTTATCAAAATGCCTTCAGGATTATCATCCAGAGCATAAATATTCATGGAGCAGGATAAAATTTTGGAAATAGAGACAAAGAATTGCTACTGGCTCCAAAACTTACTACTACATGTTTAATGCCAAATAGTATTTTTGCCAGTTTTCCTCTTTTTGTCTAAAAAACATGAGCCAAGTTCTAGGTAATAAAGGTTTTACTTTGTTCAACCATCCCAGACTTCATTGAAGAGAGTAGCAAATTTACTTTCATTGTGAAGTCCCAGCACCTTGCACAACTCAGACTTTTAATTGGAAACAGGATCAAGTGCCTGTTAAGACAAGGCTGAAAAACATAAATTTCCAACTCTCCTCTTCTTCTGCTCATGCTGACAAATTTCTACCAACTGTAAATAACAATGTGTGGTAGGTTGCACTTAGAATACCAGTTTTCCAGGATTCTTTCCTCATGCAAAATGTTTCTCAGATTTAGAAAGACTCATATATGCTTCAACCAACTGCCTTAGTAATCTGGGTGGGGATTTTTAATGGATTTAATATATGAATCAGATTTACATAGACTATAAACTTACCTTTAATATATAATAAAAATGACAGAGAAATGTTCCGCATCTGATTTTTATCCCAGAGACAATTCTCAATGTAAGTATTAAAATGATTAAACAAATTATAGATGAAAATGTTTCTCTTTTTCCCATAAACTTCTGCTTAGCAGAGGGAACTCTACTAAAATTTATTTATTTCATAGCAGTTCTAAATTTCTGATTTTTGATCTGATAAAATGTTCACTATAGTTTAGAATGTTTATACAGCAATGACCCCAAAATGGCTGGCAAGTGTAGAGTGGAGGTTATTCTGAAAATAATAATAATTATTATTAAAAGCATTTCCAATTTATTCACTTTTAGCTGAGTTGGGTCTTCGTTGAGGCATGCAGGCTTTCTCTAGTTGTGGCGAGTGGGGGCTACTCTTCGTTGCAGTGCGCGGGCTTCTCATTGTGGTGGCTTCTCTTGTTCCGGAGCACAGGCTCTAGGCACGTGGGCTTCAGTAGGTGTGGCATGCAGGCTCAGTAGTTATGGCACACGGGCCTAGTTGCTCCATGGCATGTGGGATCTTCCCGGACCAGGGCTCGAACCCATGTTCCCTGCATTGGCAAGTGCATTCTTAACCACTACGCCACCAGGGAATTCCCCAAAATAATTATTTTTAACAACCCAATTCCATCTATAATATTAGAGAAAATATATACAAATTAATTGGAATATGGACAGCATTTAGGTGGTTACATAAATAAAATATTAATTTGATTTAGTGATAATATTGTGGTAATTATTCTCTTGGATTTATGTTGTTATTTTAATATAACATTTTCAGTAAAGTAATACTTTTATATCAGAAAAATAAAAACAAAAGTCCTGGCCCATTGTCAATTAAGTTTATGAGGAAAGTTGTTTATAAAGTATATGTTCAAAGTACTATAAAGTAAGCACATGTTCACAAGTGTTTCTACATATTGGTCAATGTGGTGATATTTTAAGACCAGTTTTTATTAGTCTATCTCTATAACATTTTTTAATTTGTATTTGCTTTTTCTCACATAGTCTCCATGTCTTAGCTAAGCAAGAACCCTTGAGGAGAAAATTACAAAATAATTGAGTAAATAATGAGGGCAAATTGTCATCTCTAGTCAACTCTACTGTCTAATAGAAACTGTAGAAAATAAAGCAACACATGAATTTAGCCTGTTATTCTAAGAAGTTAAGACAACACCCTTTGGGGTGATGTCCTTCTCTTGCATTCCTTTTTTGCCAGGATCTTTTCCAGCCTAACAGTACTGACATATGTTTTGTTCGGATTTTCTTTTTGAGGGGTGGGCTTGTGGAAGGGACTGGTTGAGTTATGTGTTACAGACACTGATGATTTTCCAAAGACGGGCTTACATTCCTCTTCAAAACAGTTTACCACAAACTCTAAAGAGAGATCTTAGGAAACCTCTGAGCTGTGTCTAATCTTATAGCATTGTTCCCTGCAATGGTTTAAGGTTGACAATTCAAGTTGAAATTAGCAATTAATTGTGTAAAGTGCCTATATCTTAACGTGTTTATTTCATCTTCAAACATTATATATTTTGCATTGATTCTGCAGCTTTTACTCTTTAACTAAGATTTTGCAATTTGTGATTATGGAGGCAGCACATCTTCAACGTTTTCTGGCACTAAGTATCATTAAAAGTCATTTTATGGCTCTCCAATCATTAAAACCTTAGTTTTACTGGAGCAGCAAAAATAACTCTGCCTATTACCTGGGGATAATGCTACCATTATGTTGAAGTTCAATGGAGTAAAAATAAAGGCCAACTACAACATGGGCCTGTGTTTTATTTGACCCTGTGATCATTTAGCACTGGACTGGGAGTCCAGTACAGCTGTCAACTGACTTTCCAATGCACTCAGGAAAGTATGCAACCTATATGCTATTTCGAAACGATTTAGGGAATTCGTTTAAAAAACAAAAAACAAAACAAAAAAAATATGAGAGTCCCTTCTGCCTAAGTCTTCACCTCCTTTGATTTTGGGGTCAGTAGCCTAAAGGTAATATTTTAAAATAATAAATAAAATTTCAAAAATAAGAAATGAAAAATCCAGAAACCATTTAAATCTTTTTCTTTCTTTCGTTCTTTTCTCTTTCCTTTTCTTTTTTTCTTTCTTTTTTTTTTTTTTTTTTTTTTTTTTTTTTTTTTTTAACATCTTGGCACACAGCAAGCGGGAAGTTACTTAGCACGGTTCCGGGTTTCCTTGTGCCCCGCCCGCTCGCCCTACCACAGCTAGAAGCTTTAGTCCCTGGGTCGGTGTGTCCTGCAGGGAGCAATCCCTGTCCATCGGTCTGCGCTCTGCCCGCCCGCCGCGCATCTGTCCTTCTCTCCTGACTCCGCCCCGCATCTGTCTGGAACCTCCTCGCGTCTGAGCTGACCCAGTGCGCGTCTGCCAGTCAGTCCCTCCGGACCCGCCGCGAGTCTCAGGCTGCCGAAATCTCTGCGCGTCACTCGGTCCGTACCCAGTGGGCATCTTGGGTATCTGGGCGGTCTCCGGTCCCCCGCGCGTGTGTCTGTCTGTCTGTCTCTCTGTCCGATCCGCCGCCTGCAGCCTGCCTGCCCGGCCGCAGCGCACCAAGTGTCCAGTCTGCCCTTTCGCTGACGCTGAGTGTGTGTAGCGCGGCCTTAGTGAGCGCGAGCCCGCCTGAGACCGGCCAGGCAGCCGGCGGAGGAATACACGTTCGGCCCCTGCCCTTGTTGATATCATTTTAAGCCCACACGAGCTTGAGGCCTATATTTATGCAGAAAACGGGTCGTGAGGCCTCTGTCGGCAAGGCTAGGTGTGGGGAGCCAGCCAGCTGCTTGATGATTTCTTACAATTTAACGGGGAAAGGGACATTTCTTTCCTACTACTGGCTTTTGAAACTGATTTTAGATCTGAATGGGTGGAAATTCTAAGCCACCTTAGGGAAAACGGATTCGTTATTGGGGTGCTTTTTTGTCTGATGCATTTGTTCTGAGCCTGCTGACCAGCTGTTTCTGAACTTCATTTTCTCAGCCTCAACAGTGATTCTGAGTCTGCTTTTAGCTTCCTTCGCCTTGGCTTTTTTTCTGTTTGTGAACAGCTGCTTGGCCCATAGCTTAGAGAAAGCAACCTCTTTTTCTCTCCCAAGAAAGCCTCCTCCCTGTGCTCAGAGAGATGGGGAGTGGGGAGCCTAATCCTGCCGGCAAGAAAAAGAAGTACCTAAAGGCCGCCCTGTATGTGGGTGACTTGGACCCAGATGTCACCGAGGACATGTTATATAAAAAGTTCAGGCCTGCTGGCCCTCTTCGCTTCACCCGAATCTGCCGCGACCCGGTGACCCGCAGCCCCCTGGGCTATGGCTATGTTAACTTCCGCTTTCCTGCGGATGCTGAGTGGGCCTTGAACACCATGAATTTTGATTTGATTAACGGCAAACCTTTCCGCCTAATGTGGTCTCAGCCAGATGACCGCTTAAGAAAGTCTGGAGTTGGAAATATATTCATCAAAAACCTGGACAAATCCATAGACAATAGGGCCCTTTTTTATCTGTTTTCTGCTTTTGGGAGCATTCTCTCCTGCAAGGTAGTATGCGATGACAACGGCTCTAAGGGTTATGCCTATGTGCACTTTGACAGCCTGGCTGCTGCCAATAGGGCCATCTGGCACATGAATGGAGTGCGGCTCAACAACCGCCAGGTGTACGTTGGCCGATTCAAATTTCCGGAAGCGCGGGCAGCTGAAGTTAGAACTAGGGATAGAGCGACTTTCACCAATGTTTTCGTTAAAAACTTTGGAGATGACATGGATGACGACAAACTGAAGGAACTTTTCAGTGAATACGGGCCAACTGAGAGTGTTAAGGTAATAAGAGATGCCAGTGGGAAATCGAAAGGCTTTGGATTTGTGAGATACGAGACACACGAGGCTGCCCAAAAGGCTGTGTTAGACCTGCATGGAAAGTCCATCGATGGGAAAGTCCTCTATGTAGGGCGAGCACAGAAGAAAATTGAACGCCTGGCTGAGTTAAGGCGAAGATTTGAGCGGCTGAGATTAAAAGAAAAAAGTCGGCCTCCAGGGGTGCCTATCTATATTAAGAACCTAGACGAGACCATTGATGATGAAAAACTGAAGGAGGAATTTTCTTCCTTTGGATCAATTAGCCGGGCCAAAGTGATGGTGGAAGTGGGGCAAGGCAAAGGGTTTGGTGTTGTCTGCTTCTCCTCTTTTGAAGAGGCTACCAAAGCAGTAGATGAGATGAATGGTCGCATAGTGGGCTCCAAGCCTCTGCATGTCACGCTGGGCCAGGCCAGGCGCAGGTGGTGAGAATAAGAATGCTCAATTTGTTTCAGCCTTAAGCTGGTGCCTACTTAGTTTGGGCTACTTTGTGATAAGAGGTTATTTTATGTGAATTCACAGCTTTTTTTAAGTGAATACTTTCTTTTGAAAAAAAGTGAAACTAGAAAACCTTGTTCATTTTAGTGAAGAACATAATTTCTAATTGTAAAACTGTCATTTTGTACTATTTTTCGATATAATAGCCTTAGGAATATGTAGAATAAAATTTATTCCTCCACATGCTTTTTTGCTAAACCAGTCAAGGTGAGGTAATGGAGTATATTTCCTTCCTTATTTCACTAATACTACTAAATTTATTTTCTCCTATGAAAATATTCTCGAGATGGTCCTTACTTCTGAGTCTATCACAGTGAAAATTTCTAACTTGCTTTTTGAGAAATCAGTAGAGCAGGGGAAAGCGTATGTGATCCAGTTAATGTTTGTGTATAGGTTCACTTTAAATTATTATTTAAAATGAATATTCCTTTTAAAGGATGTGAGCTTTCTTTCTTCCTTTTATTTATTTATATATATATATATATATTTTCTTTTTAATATATTGTGGGCATACCACAGACTTGATAGTGACTTTGACTAAGTTTTGAGAGTTTTCGTTATTAACTTCATGCCCAGAGAAAGAAGCATATTGGTATTTCCTCAATCAATACCTTAGAAAATTAACACTTTAAACATTGATTATTTAAATTCTAAGTTTCATCTTAAAAACCTTTTCTGAAAGCTTTGATATTTGAAGACAGTCTAAGGAGCATTTTTTTTTTTTTTTTTTTTTTTTT